GATTAACTACCCTGAATAAACAAGACTAACAGTAGAGTCACTCTGAATTTCACAGAATACAAAATCTAGGAAAGAAGCCAGCATTAAAATTCAGGCATTCATAGACAAATACACAAAGTATGGGTAACAAACATGGTGAACCTCTGACTGGAATATGGCTCTTGAAGGATATAACTCACTGAGAAAGGAACAGACTGGGTAAGAGGGAGGGGAGAAGGGGTAATAGCCTTCTATTTTATGAAAGATATACTCTAATAACCAAAATGCTGGAGGGCATTAGAGGTAGAAACAGAAGGCATAATGAGGGACTCCAATTATCTAGTCATTTGCTACAGTTCTGTTTGTGTCTGTTCTCTGACTCTCAAAGTTGAGTGGTTAACAATTTGTTGGCTTTCCTTAACAAAAATTCTGTCCTTCTAAAAGTAGAGCAAACAATGAGGGGAGCTTCTATTCTGGACCTTGTTATCACTAATAAGCAGAATGAATGAAGCACAAATTATAGGAACCTTGAGGGGAAATGACTACTCCATTTTAGAATTTATGATGAAGCGTAAGAAATAAAGCATAAGAAATGTGGGCATGATTTGACCAAACATATTTGAACCATTTTGCCTGCTTGTTTTTGTGTCTGTCATAATCACTTAATAATTACTTAATAAATACTTTATACTGAGAGATAGCTACTATTATTATCCCCAGTTTACAGGTGAGGAAATGGAGGACAAGGGAGGTTAAGTGACTTACTCAGAGTCACACAACTAGTATCTTATGCTTGATTTGAATTCAGGTCTCCCTGACTCCTAATTCCAGTGCTCCATCCACTGCACTAAAATTTCCCTGGATAGGGTCAGCATTGTCTTAGTTATTAAAGTCATCTTGTCAGCAGTTTGGATCTGGTCTATTGGCTGCTTTGGCCTGAACTTTCCATTCTGGGCATCTCTTTTCTTTTTACTTAGTGCTTGGACATTTTATTTAGATATTTGTGTTCTCTTTCTTCTTGTCTTCCTCTCTGGTTTTCTGGTCTACTACCTTCATCAGGCCTAGGGTGCCTGTGTACATACTGACTGAATTGGTCACCAGATTCTGGATTCCTAGCTCCACTGCACATGTAGGCTGACAGTTATTTACCTAAATCTGACTCACTTGTGTGTGCATTTCCTATACCCTGCTGCCGTCTTTGAGCTCTTTGTCCTATCTTCATGTTCTAGTTGTTGGTGTTCAGTCATTTGTCATGTACAACTCTTCATGACCCCATTTGGGGTTTTCTTTGCAGAGATACTGGAGCAGTTTGCCATTTCCTTCTCCAGCTCATTTTACAGATGAGGAAACTGAGGCAAATAGGGTTAAGTGACTTGTCCAGAGTGACACAGCTAGTTGTTGTGTGAGGCCAAATTTGAACTCAGGTCTTCCTGACTCCAGGCCCAGCACACTATCCACTGTGCCATCTAGCTTCCCACAGTTTCAGTACTAACAAACAACTCAATTTTGGCAAAGAATATTTTGACAGATTTTTGCCTTAAAAAGGAACAGTTTGCAAAGTGCAATGTGATTATAAATACATAATTCAATCAATGATCTCATTTGATTTCAGGGTCGCTAATGGGAGAAGGGGGAAAGGATTTTGGCATTAAGGATATGGAAGTAACTTTTAGGTATGTGATTTAAGAGAAGTGTTCACTATAGAAACTGGTGATAGGTAAGGGACTGTGTTACCCCACAGTTCAGGGATCAGGTTATCCCACAGAATAATTTGGCATTTACCTAACAGTTAGTTTGAACTTTTAGTACTTTTCGCTAGTAGGAGCAGAAAAGGAAAAATAGAGAGCAGAAGGCTCTTTTTTTTTTTCCCTAGCTTCCTAGCATCAAAAAAAATTTGCCATTATCATAGAGGTCACACAACCCTAACCTGCAAATCTAGAGCTTGGGAGTAAGCAGTCAGACTGGCTTCCTCTCTTGTCCATTTTACTCAACATACACAGACCCTTGAATCAGCCTGAGATCAATATAGAATATGAGTTTCCCATAGGTAGAACTGAGTGGTGGGAGCCCAGAACACATCTCTGTGGTCCTGTTTGGCATTACCTTCTTATAGAGAGAGTGGTTTGGGGGAGCAGGAAGCATCATTTTCCTCATCTGGCTTTCTTTCATTACCTCCCAAGCTGTTCTATCAGGCTCACAGAGCCACTTTCGTGTCATACTACAGCAATCCTTGATGGGATCCCTCCATGTGGCCATCTATTTAGTACATAGGAGCCAGAGTTCTTATGCTTCTCCTGGGGAATAGTAGCTGCTTTCTCACTCTAGTAATAATAAAAGAAAAATCTAGAGCCATATGCTCTTGTCACATGTTCATGGCAGCTCATTGGAATTTTTCTTTATTTACAGCCCTTTTATAGAGATCTCAGCCACTTTGCAAACAACCAACCCCACCTTGATACAGCAATAATTCCCCCAAAATTGTTAAGGAAAAGGATGTTCTAAATAAGTAAATAATCTGGTGCATTGAGTTATTACATATATAAGCATAGATAAGATTTCAAAGAGTGAGACTATAATCATAGAAGAATAGTCATCCAATAATTCTCAAACTATTTAGTCTCAAGATCTCTTCACAAACTCTTAAAAATTATTGAGGACCCAAAAGAGCTTTGTTGTTGCATGAGTTCTATCTGTCATTTACCATATTGGAAATTAAACTGATGAAATGTTTAAATGTTTATTAATTTATTTAAAATAACAATAAACCTATTATATGTTCACCTCAATAAACCTATTTTATAAAAATATATTTTCTAACACAAAAAAATTTTAGATAAGTGGCATTGTTTTACATGATTTTATAAATCTCTTTAATGACCAGCTTAATAGAAGATAGTTGAATTCTCATAGCTGCTTCTCCATCTGATATGTTACATTATGTTGTTTGGTTTGTTTGTTATGACAGCCTAGCCTCATGCGGATATATAATTGGAAAAAGGAGGAGTATTTTAATAGGCAAATAATGTCTTATTATTATAACGAAAATAGTTTGACCTCATGGACTTCCTGAAAGGAAACCTTTAAGAACCACTGATCTATCCAGAGAAAGAACTGATAAATAGAAGTATGTACAGTATGGTATGTGTGTGTGCGTGTGTGTGTATACTTACATATATTTATATGTAATGGTAGCCTTCTCTAGGGCAGGGTGGGGAGGGAGGGAAAAATATAAAAAGTGCACAGCAGAGAATAAAAGAAAATTTAGAAGAAAGCAAAGAAAGCAGAATGGCTTTGAAAACAATACGTGGTACTTATATGTTTTTTTTAAGTAAAAAATTGTGAAATATAAATTCATGGTTTTAGAGTGAATCCTTTTTTTATGTTGTGCTGTGCACATGAAAATGTTCTTTTTGTGTGTCTATGTATTTAAGTTCAAAATGAATTTTTAAAATAACAATTTTTTTAATTTTTAAAAATTAAAGAAAAGAATAATTGATTCTAAACACTTCATTTAATAGATGAAAGAAATAAGATCCAGAAAGGGGAAATGATTTCCATAAAGTCATAAGGCAACTTAGTAGCAGAATCAGGACCAAAACCCAAGTCTCTTGATTCCCTATCCAGCAGCTTTCTTTTATACCACATGGCTAAAATATATTTACCATTCAGACCATATGACATAATTACATCTTTATTGAAATGGTTAAAACGAACATTAGGATAATTTCAAGGAATTCATTGGAATTCATTCAGTGAATGGAGTTCATAGACTACTGGAGCAGGAAGGCCTCAGACCAAACACTTGACACTTACTAGCTGTGTGACCCTGGGCAAGTCACTTAACCCCAATTGCCTAAAAAAGAAAAAAAATGTAAAAAACAAGTTCATAGACCTCAGGTTAAGAACCCCTGGGCTCAATGATCTCTAATGTCCCTTCCTGTTTTTAAATCCTTTGATCCTATTCTGTCTGTGATTTCTGTACCAATCCTTCACACAGTGAACTCTAGGCATCTCCTTGACAGTTTCTACCCACTTTACTGACTCATACTCTGAATTTGGATGCTCTGCCATCTCAAGAACTCATGTTCAAGTATTTTGAGGTGATATTACCTTGAAGCCTGTACATTTTACATTATCCCCATTAGGATAAAAGCAAATCCCCAGCCTGTTTTCCATTACACCACAGTACCTCTGTAGAGCAGAGAAGCAGTTCATTTTCTTTTCATTTCAGTGCAGTGCTGAATTCCTTAATATTAGGTTCTCTAACCAGGAAATAGAAGGAAATCATGGCCTAAAGTTGATTGAATGAATAAATAAGATGGAATTTCAGTCATTCATTCAAACACCACGTTCTCACATCTGCTTTGGTAGCCAGCGGAACATTGGAGGATGAATGGAGTGAAACATGGAAGACTATTTTTGTGACTTTAGCTCAGACAGTTTTTATAACAACTTTAAAAGAACAGCAGATGCATAAACATATCCTTCTTTTGACATCAAGAAAATCATGATAAAGTCAGTTATCTAGTGGCTTTTCATGGGTTTTCCCCACCTTAAACTTGGCCTCAAAATGGGATTTTGCAACTCACTAGGTTCGGGGAAATGGCATTTCTGGTTTTACCTTTTGCTACCATTTCCAGAGGACTCCAGCAGTGAGTATCTATTATTGTCCTGTTGTGTCTAGCTATAACCATGTCTGACTGCCTCCAAATGACCAAGGTGTCCTCATTAATACCAGGTGCTATATTTAGCCACAGCTGGGAATGTGTTCCCTTAATTTAATCACAAACCTGGTAGCCATGGGGATGACACTGCCCTGGGTACTGAGTGGAAAGGATGAAAAGAAAACAAACATGTTATGTAAATTAACTTCCTAAGTAAATAAAAAGCTTTGCTTCCTGGCTTGGGGATTAACTCCTTGTGTTCTAAAGAGGGTTTACTAGAATTGGCAGTAATGAAGAAGTGGGGTATGAACAGTTACAGACTTGTTTCATGGCGTTTTCTTTGTTTGTGTCTTACAGATTTATCAACACTCATATACTGGATATTATTTCCTGAGCAAAATTCCTTTTGGGTAAGCTGCTTCCTTTGTGTGTGTGTGTATGTGTGTGTGTGTGTGTGTGTGTCCTTTAGAAAAGACTTTTGTAGATAAACATAAAACAGAAGAACGCCTAGAAAGTAATCAGTGAAAATTTTCCTTAGGACATCAATTGGGGGAATATGCTTGTCTAAAGACAAAGCCTACTAAACTATACAGTAGTAGGACTGAGTGACATCTTTGGGGTATGGTAAATCTTGTGGCAGTTGAAGAGGAGAGCAAGCAGCCTGTTAGCAACTGAGTTGCTAAAATACAATTAGTGTTAGTGAGTAAAATAGAGTCAGTGTTAATACCTCTTGAAAGATCTTCAGTCTGTTGCCCTTTGGTGACACGGCCTCCTTGCAATGGCTTCACCTGAGTAATGCTATTCTCATTATTTATGCTCTGGCTTCTGTTGATTGAGGTGACTATTGAAATTTATCATAACCAGATATCATCTACATAAAAAGATTTAAGTAGGAGAAGAGAATGATTTGCTTCAAACTTCCTTGTTTGTACTTGCAATTTTTTTTATCAGGTAAGGTCAGGATGTTATCCTACTAATGTCCTTCAGAGCTATTTAGAGGGAGCTAGGTAGCACAGTGGACAGAGAACTGAACCTAGAAGCCCTGAGTTAAAATCCTACCTCAGGCACTTCCTAGCTCTGTGACCCTGGGCAAGTCACTTAATGACTGTCTACCTCTGTTTTCTTATCTATAAAATGGGATTAATAATAGCACCTGCCTCCCAGGATTGTTGTGAGGATAAACTAAGGTATTTGTAAAGCACTTTGCAAACTTTAAATGCCAGCTGTTAGCTACTCTTGACTCACTCTGCCTTGTCAGTACTATTCTAAAAACAGAAGTGGGGTAGAAGTTGAGCAATGTTGAATAAAATATAACAAAGACATTTCCTGTTTACCTTTGCATCCCTTTTCTTCAGCAGGAGGAATCTTGGGGACTGAGAAAATTCAGGGTAAAAATCAAGTATACTTGTCTCTTGGTCTTCCAAAGAGAGTGTAATTTCCATTGAGAGATATTGCATCGCTATTCCTTGGACTACAGAGAAATCTTTCTGCATTCACTTGACCAGAAGAAAGCATAGTACTCCTAAGATCAGGTCATGGTGCCCCAACTGGGTTTTTCTTTCCTCCTTTGCCTTCAGTGCACAGTCATCTCTGAAATATATGCCTAGTTACAAGATGTAGGTGTGAGTGGGAAGGGCAACTAGGTGGTGCAGAGGACAGGGTGCCAGGCCTGAAGTCTTAAAGGTTCATCAACCTGAGTTCAAATCTGGCCTCAGACATTTACTAGCTGTGTGACCCTGGACAAGTCACTTAATTCTATTTGCATAAGTTCCTCATCTGTAAGATGAGCTGGAGAAGGAAATGGAAAACCACTCCAGTATCTTTGCCAAGAGAACCCCAAATGGGGTCACAAAGAGTCAGACACAACTGGAACAACAAAGTCAGTGAGGAAACAGAGATTGGAAATGAGAGGCTGTATCTCTCCTTCCCTGTCCTAAGAAACAAAACCCTACTGCCATAATGTCCCCACCTTCACATATTATAGCCTTTAAAACACCAGTGGGGATTTTTACCATCCAAAGTGTGAGGAGAGATTTGTTGGCAACCCATTGTAGTTGTAGGATGGTTAAAGTTGCCAACAACAAACACTAACGTTTGCAGAGAAGCACACAGTTAGGCTTGATTTCAGGGAAAACATCTTTTTAATCATTGACCTTTCCAAGAGTTGAGCAGACTGCCCAGGAAGGTAGTCATTTCCTCCTTGTGAAGGTATTCTGATAGAGAGGCTAGATGACCATGAAGGTTGTGTGCTACAACAGAAAGATCACTAGCTCCAGAGTTATAGAACATGGATTCAAACCCCATTTTTGTTGTTAAAGTTGCATAGGTTCACAGAAATGTTGAAAGTGAAATTTAAGTTTTCCCAATTTACAGAGGCCAGTAAATAATTGCTCCATAAGCATGTGTTAATGAAGGCAGAGATGCCTACAGACACAAAGTTCGAGTAGGGTGCTTGTGAGATTCTAGTCCAAGGAAATCAACATGAGAAAAGACATTTCCCTAGGAATTCAAACATACTAAGTTAGGCATATTGTGTTTTTGAAAAATATATTAATTGATCCAGAAAAGGTATGATTCAAATACCCTATTAAACTTTTAGAAAGCTCAAAGCCATTAGGAATAGATTGACTATAGTTGTAGGGCTAAAATATCAGTGATATTTTTCATTTTTTAAAAAAAGCATATTTCAAACTGTAGCTCAAATATGCCTCACTAAGGAAAAATTATTATGTTATTTTTCATGTAGATATACATCTTCCAAGGTCATGTCAACTACAAATATAATTATGTCCTAAGATTTATCTAGCCATTCTGGGAATAATAACATTTATTGTAGATGGCAGATATTATATTGCATCTTATAATTCAAAAAAAGTATAAAAGCATTCTCTTCGCATGATGTTGAGATAACATACTAACATAACATTCATAACGTATGAGTGAAAATTCCAAGAACTAGGCATTCAAAGTTATCAATGACATAGAAAATAAAAAGATAATATATTCATATGCTAAAGGCATTATTTCAACATGTATAACAAGAATAGCTGACATTTGTGAAGGGTCTTCCAGATACAAGGTAATGTTGATATTCTTTCCCATCTAATCCTCACATGATTCAAAGGGCAAATTTTTTTTCCCATTTTACAGAAGAAGAGACTGAAGTTCATGGATGATAAATGATTTGCCTTAAGCTACACAGTTATCAAATGGTGGAGACTTAGACTTAAATCCTGTCTGTCTCAGTCGAAGTTCATTATCCTTTCCCCTATACCACAGCACTATGTAATCAGCTGATATCATTTTATAGCAAAGATCATTTTGATGCTTTATTCAACAAATATTAGTACACACACACACACACACACACACACTTTTAGTTGGTCTAAAAGAAATGCAGCTTATTTCACTGTGTAAGTTTCACTATATAAGAGATAAATAGTTCTTGAAAAAACACAGGATTTCTCCTGCTATTCCATAATATTCAATGTTAGTACTGGGGGTGGCCCAGATGGAGGTGAAATCCAACAGATAACCCCAACCCTACTTTTCTACTTTGGTTACTAATCAAAATTTCCAAAGATCCTGTAGAGTGTATAGACATCTTTTTTTAGTCTGGTTCTGCACAATGTCACATATACAGTAAATAGCAGTGATAGAACTGGCACCTCATGGCTTGCCATACTAGCTTCTCAAAGCAAAATCAACCCATGGTTTAGGAAGGCTACACACATAGGGGAGAAGCATGTTCTTTCTTATATTTGTTTGACATTGAGTCTCTTTTGTGTCAGATCAGATCTCTGATCTTATAAGGAAAGAAGCACCATTTGCTCTCCTTAACCTCACTTTGTGCTTAAATTTCCTCATTTTGCAGATGAGGAAACTAAGGCTTTGAGAGATGCAGTGACTTACTGAGCATCACCCTGCTAGTTAGTGGTGGGCTAGGATTCTCACTCAGATTCTCTGACTGTAGGGTTAGTGTTCTTTCCATTGAATCATGCTGGGTAGTGCAGGGGAAGTCAAGAAAGACTCCAAGTAAGTCTATAGGTAGTGTCCATGGAGCGAGTCTTAAGTTACACTTGTGTTTGACACAAAAATGAGTAAAATTTTTCTCCTTTAAAAAATGAAAAGATCTCTATATTGAAACATTGCTTTTAAGTAGTATTTATCAGTAAAGAGACAATCCTTTTTTGGCACAACTTTTAAAAGAAACACCTAAGATACATTGGGTAGCCTTCCCACTTTCTTAACTGTCCTCATTTCTCTTCACCTGAATTGTTATTTGGAATCAAAAACCATTCCTAGTGGGTCATCTTCAACCTTTAGACTTGCTCAGCATGAAAGCACTCCAGGAACTGCTAATCTCCAGGTGCATGTGTCTCTTTTTCAACCATAAACTATTCAAGCTAATCATAAAGGAGGTCTTAGTTGACCCTTTCAACCTCCTTTCCCTGAGAATTCCTTTCTCTTCACTCCTTGTAGAAGGGTGGGATGGGATGGGGTGAGGCACATGAGTCTGACTTCCCTTATGAAAGTAGTACAAGAGCTTCAGACACAGGTTTTCCAGAAGTCACTTTCTCAAAAGCCCTGTATCTCTTCAATAGATCTGACAATTTTTGAACAAAATTTAAGCAGAATTTTAAAGCAGGAATTGATACTGTTCATCAAAGAATTTCAAAATTACAGTGGCCCTTTGACTTAAGGACATATTGGTTCTAGTGCTAATTATCTTCCTAGGTGATTGGTATAACCAATTAATTTCTCTTCTTTCTCCTTTTCCATCTTAGTCTTCTTTTCCACTTCCTCCTCTTCCTTTTCTTCCCCTTCTTCATATTCCTCTTCTTCCTCCTCTCTTCTTCTCTCCCTCCTCTTCCTCCTCCTCTTCTTTTTCCTTCTCCCTCCTTTTTCTCCCCTCCTACTTGAGGTAATGTGGTATATTTGACTTGATTTAGAAGACCCAGGTTCAAATCACAACTCTGACTTTTTCTAATTGTGTGATCATGAATACTTTATTTAAACTCTCTGAGCCTCAGTTTCTTCATCTACAAGATAAAGGTAATAATCATGGCTCTACCTATATCACAGAATTATTGTAAATAATGTGCTTTGTAAACCACAAGAAGTGCTCCAGAATGTGGGCTACTTGCCATCACATGGTTTTCTTCCTAGCTATGTACAAATAGCATGTTTCTGTTCATGCCATGGCAAATGATAGACAACATGGTATAGTGTTAAAAAACTGGATTTGGAGTTTTAGAAACTCCTCTATTTAATATGTCTATGACCAGCACCACCCCCATCTGGGGCCTGAATTTCCTTATATGTCAAATTAAGTTTCCTGGGTTTCCTTATATGTTTCACCAGATGATTTAAGGTTCCCTCCCCCTTTTCAGCTTCAAATTCTATAATC